TGTTTGCACAAGGGATTGTGATAGTCTCCAATGTATGAAGGGTACTATAAACTTATACTGTAATCGTCAACCAACCCATATATGAGACCAAAAGGGGGTTGAATGTAGCCACTGCTCAAATATGAGCTTGAAAAATAGTTGGAAGACGTTACAATTTCCTCTGAATTTGTAATGGTTGGATCATCCCATTTTGTGGCTAAGATCGGTGAAATAAACCAAAGTTTCTTCTGATGCACCCCGCTCCATGACCATGGCTACAATTCATAAATCACAACCAGTCCTACATTCAAAAACCTCGGGGGTAATTATGCGTTCCATGAGACCCTATAATATATATATATAATATAATATATAATATATATTATAATATTATATATATATATATATCCTCTATATATATATATACATTGTAATATCTCCATTAATATCCCTACGTGCTGATAATTGGAAGTAGGACACTAGGCCAAGAATCCACTTCCATGATATCCATACCATTTCAAACTCACTTTCGCCTTTTTTTAAATCAAACACAACCGTAGAAATCCCGGTACAGTAGTGGATCTGCTCACTATTATTAAGCACAGTCCCAGTCGTGGGGGTATGTTATCTGCAAATTTAGCATAATTTATTAACATAAAATGAGGCCCCATATGCGGCTTATAAGGTGAGTAATCCCGCTTGCTATTCCCATCATTTCTTTGGTGATGTTGCGGTGAAGTCGCAACATAATTTGCACAGAACTATGGTTGGTTTAATCCCTATCCATATAATCCATATCTATTCATTCCTATATACAGTATATATAGTAATCCCCATTTTCCTGCTCCCAGCCTTCCGCTGTACAGGTAGAGGAGCCTCGGAAGTGAATGGTGGCAAAGTGGCGCCACTTTACGAACAAAGATGGGGTAAAACCAACCACAAGGTGGATACCGAAAAATGTGGGCCATACCTTGCTAATTAATTAAGATTCGAATTAGATACTCCTGATTCCTGATTACTCATGGCCTCTATGCAAAGACCTTCTGCTGTCCGCAACCGTAGGCTCTGAAGTTGCCTCATTGCATGTGGCACTTCCGTCTGGAGGCAAGCTGTATCCAAATCCGGATTTCATTCACAGCGTTCCGACGCAAAGCTCTCCGTGCCACGGAACAGATCATCAATTCATCACATGTAACAACTTCACATCCTGCACCGAGTTGTATACAATGTTCCTAACGTCGCTGAAGCAAGGAAAAAAACATAAAAAACTGGGCTGTTTTTGGCCAGCAACATAATCAGTAAGCACACATATGCAATGTTCCTGCCCATATCCCGCGGTTATGCAGGCCGTGACTTGGTGGGTTGGACCTATACACCCCCACATTGAGTGAGGATTGGACGAAGAATCATGTCACGCCACTCATTTACGGGGAAAATCATTGTATAAATATATGAATTACATATGTATGTGGTCAAAAAAGGAAAAACATGGACTATTTTGGGTTGTCCAAACAAACGAGCCCCCGACGTTGTAGTCTTAATGGAGAGGAAATGCTCATCAACCGTCAGATTCTGGGGTACAGTACTATCTTTTTTTCACACAAACCCATTTCGGAGACCTAAAAATGGCATCTTACTGCAAATCTCACAGGTGCTGTTCGCACCCACTACAAAAAAAATGTTATGTGGGGATTATATAGCACAAACCAAAAACAATTGCAAGCAAGTAAATCGAACAAATCCAACAATACGGACAATTGTCTCGACCTCATTGGCTTCTCCAAAGACAACACAGTCCATGTTTATCCTTCTTGGGGGTGCATCCTAGTTGGTAAGTTATTAATCTACACCAAAAATAACTGGCGAGCAAAAGCGCGTATTACCCACTTAGCAACTGGTATGCACATCCAATGATCTTATATATATATAATATATATATACATACACAGTATACATATATATATATACATATTATATTATATATATATATCTTGTGTGATTTTTATGGGTTACCCTCCTGTAATTTCACAATATTTCACAGCTTGCTATGGAAAATCACCATATGTTTAATAGGGAATCATCATTAATCCTTGAACAAAATGGACCATTTTCCATAGCAAACTGTTAACTTACCAGAGAGTAATTCCATCTAATATAATGATTTATAAGATTTTATAAGATTATATTTTCCCCATTATCCTATTATATCCCCAACATTCCCCAACCATCCCCATGATCAAAAAATGACGGTGCCAAAGCCCTTCCAACCAACTGAGTTTTCGGACCCCGGGAGCCAAGTTCCTGCGCCGATTTTGGCACCACAGCTGGTTGGAGCATTCTCTAATGCCCATAAAAATACTAGATTATACTAGATTGATGATGGCTAATATATGATGATGGATAAATGGATAAATCATGGATTATACTAGATTCTAATAGATTGATGATTATACTAGATTATACGTTACCAATGATTGATGATGGATTTGCATCGTGGATTAATTAATATGGATTAATTACACGAACAACTTCTGTAGCCCCTGCAACTCGATCATCCCAGTGGGAACCAGTCTCAATTTTTCCGACTCAAAAAATGGCCATGAAAAACGGTGGGCGAATCCCGCAAAAAAAACTCCCACAAAGATCCAGAGGAAATCAGCGAAAATCTGAAACTCGTGATTCCTCAGATTTTTTCAACGTTGATAATTTTAGTTGTTGGATTCCCACATTTTTCATATGAAAATATATGAAAATCATCCAGCACATCCAGCGAATCTTCACATCTCTCAATACATCCAGGGTCCAGCAGTTTTTCATCGTTTTTCTCTAGCCTTTTGGCTGTTTGACCCTTTTTTTTTGTCACCTCCGAAGAAATCTCGATTTTCCGGCTCAGCCAGCCCACCTGGCTGGCATCCCTCCATGCTTGGGGCCGTAGCCGGGCAAGAAGGCCTTGGTGCCAGGAGTTGATCAACCATCCCGAACTGGGACATGGACCAATGGAGGCGAGTTGGGCGAGTTGGATAAAAAAAGGGTTCTATGGTTCTGCAGACGCACACATTTCATATCGAGAAGACTCAAGAGCTCAAGAACAAAAATGTCGACACCATAGCTGAATATCCATAGCAATACGGGGATTGGCTTCAAGTTTTCAGCCAATTCAGAGTTGTTTGATCAATTGCTTTACTTCGTGTGATCCCCACCATGACATTTATACATTTTGTTACTGGCAAATCTTCTGGCATTCTATCTGACATATTTTCTGGCATTCGATCTGGCATTCTATCTGGCATATCTTCTGGCATTCTACCTGGCATATCTTCTGGCAGATGTTCTGGCATATCTTCTGGCAGATGTTCTGGCATATCTTCTGGCATATCTTCTGGCATATGTTCTGGCATATCTTCTGGCAATTCATCTGGCATTCTATCTGGCATATCTTCTGGCATATTATCTGGCAAATCTTCTGGCATTCCATCTGGCATTCTATCTAGCATATCTTCTGGCATATTATCTGGCAAATCTGCTGGCATTCTATCTGGCAAACATTCTGGCACTTTATCTGGCATATCTTCTGGCATTCTAGCTGACAGTCTATCTGGCATTCTATCTGGCATACCTTCTGGCATTCTATCTGGCATATCTTCTAACATTCTATCTGGCATATCTTCTGGCACTCTATGTGGCATATCTTTTGGCGTGGATACTCGTGGTTGAGGTCCGGCAGGGAACACTGGGCGTGGATGGTCGTGGTTGAGGTCCGGCAGGGAACACTGGGCGGGGATACTCGCGGTTGAGGTCCGGCAAGGAACACTGGGCGTGGATGGCCGTGGTTGAGGTCCGGCAGGGAACACTGGGCGGGGATGGTCGTGGTTGAGGTCCGGCAGGGAACACTGGGCGTGGATGGTCGTGGTTGAGGTCCGGCAGGGAACACTGGGCGTGGATGGTCGTGGTTGAGGTCCGGCAGGGATCACTGGGCGTGGATGGTCATGGTTGAGGTCCGGCAGGGCACACTGACGTGGATGGTCGTGGTTGAGGTCCGGCAGGGAACACTGAGCATGGATGGTCGTGGTTGAGGTCCGACAGAGAACACTGTGGATCGCGGGTCGCAGTTGGACGAGGAGGACGACGAGGAGGACGACGAGGAGGACGACGAGGAGGAGGAGAGGAGAGGAGAGGAGGAGCAGGCAACTGACATAAAATCTAACAACCCTCACCTGGCAGGTGGGGAAAAACACACAGGACAGGTCTGATGAGTTTCAACCCATTGATTGATCCTGATTATCCCATAACACATACCACCAGCCAGCGTTTATTGCTCGAAACCATGGGGTTGCCAAAAACATACGCTGTAAAAAAAAGATACAATTAGTCTTAGCTTTCCTATCTGATATAATTAATTCTATGTTTCGAAGGGCCATACACATCGCAAATCCTATCATTCACCAGCTCATGCTTGATCTTCCGAAACGAACAAACTGGGATCCGCCACGTGATCAGCGATCAAAACCCTCCTATCATCCCCTTACACTTGTCTGTGAGTAAGCCTTCCCACAATGGGTCACAAGAACCCTGAATGAACCAGAGGTGGATCCAATAATTAATAAGCCTCCAAACTTCAAGCAAGAAACATGGGACCAGTTCATTGTTGGCTTTATTATTATTACATTATTATTAGTGCATCATATTACATATTATGTACATATACACAATGATATAACACACATTCTCATAGGACACTAGTACTGGAACTAATTATTGCAATTACCAGGCTATTCCATTGACTGTGATATAGTGATATATATAAATATAACCCAGTTATTGTATTACATATTACATATTACATATTACATATTATATTACCAGTCATTGGTTATATATAACCCACTTGACAAAGTGATTGCCCTTTGGTAACCATGCCGCAATGCTTCAAACTTCAGCATTTAGGCGGATGTTCTGGGACCCACCGGTCCCACCAACCCATTTAGAGAGTAAGGCTATCTCAGCCACGAACTGCTTGCCAGAGGGTAACCAAAAATTGAACCAGTATGAAAACGATTGTTAAGCATTATTTATATAGTAATGTTCTATCATTAACAATTATATATCTACAGTCATGAAAAAATATTTTAACTATTATGAACATGTATGAACAATTATGAACACTTTTTACCCATTACTGTAACCATTATGAAACATCATTCATCATTGAATCATTGACCAGTATTACTCTATAGGGTAAACTAACAGTTCAATGTGGAAAACCCTTGGATTCTGTCGGAAAATCGTCAAAAAAATGATGGATTTTCCACATCGAACTCTTCGTTTCCCCCAGGTTTTTCCACGTGAAGGCAGCCCGAGGACGCTGAGGACGCCGAGATCCGGACTTCGTGATGCCGACTCTTCTTTGGGGAGAGGTTGAAAGGATTGGAACCTGACGTCGTCACGTCGTCGCAGGTTCCAACGGGACACTTAAAAAGTCATGATGACCGTGGTATGGGGAGATTATGAGGATATGTGATGTATATATATATAATATATATATATATATATGTGATATACACTATGATATTAGTCATGATAATATATCATGGATTATAATGGGATATCAAACGGATGCTGGACATCTAGCAGTTTGCCACGACAAAATGGACCTGGGAAGGTCAACCATCTATACACATGAACGTTTTCCATGGCTATGTTGAATCAATACGGTGCCCCGTTCGGGTTTCGGGTGGAAAAACCAACCTTTGGGAATCAACAACCAGGCCCTCAGGGCCAAATTGGGATGATGGATGTTGCAGCTCTCAGACGAAACACTTTCTCCCCCTTGCAACATGGGCCAAATCTGCTGCTTTTTTGGGTGCAGTTCTGGAAGTGTCCGTGACTTTTATGGAATGTTTGTCGCCTTGATGGAAAGGGCCCCCTTTCTCCGGTATTGAATTGGGCTGCGTCAAATTTTATGGCTTCAAAAAGTGCGAGCAAAATCATCAAAATCTCGTTGCCTTTTTGGCCCATATTGGCTCACCATGGTGCTGGAATATGAATCCCAACATTTGCCCTTGTCCAAAATCACCCAGTTTTGTAAATATTCCAGCACCATGGTGAGCCAATATGGCCATGTTTTCCCGACTCATGGAGCACAAAAAACCGGACCCCACAACGTCTCCAAGATGCTCCACTCATGGTGTGCGCCAGAGACAAAGTCCTATGGAGGTCACTGGTTTTTGGAGGTCACCGGATAATTCATCCCGTTGAAACCTCAATTCCCATGACGGATCCATGGTGCTGGTAGATTAATGCTAACATGACTGGGGTATATTGATGGGATCCATGGCACACCATATATAGCATACATATGGATCCTATGGGATTGAGTTGTTTTTCTTTTTTTCCGTTTTTAAGTCAGTTTTTTGTCACGGAAAGAAAAAACTGAAAGATGACTGAGTTTGATGACCGAAAGCCATTTTTTGGGGGAAAACATGGCTCCCTAAGGGACCCATATGGAGATTTTTCGAACGGTTGAACGGTTGGGGGTTCTCGTCTCAAGGACTTCACTCTTGGACAGGGATTGCCTGGGATTCCCACCATGGAGGCAGAGATTTAGCTGGTAATTTGTGCCATAGCTATCGAACATCATCATTTGCAGTATAAAAAGCATGTATGTATAATTATGTATATTGATAACCTATGAATTTCTAGGTCATGACTTCACATAAACTGTCAGTAAACCTGGAGTTGTGTTTTTTCCAGATGGAAAATCCACACCACAAAAAGTTCCGGCCATTTCCCGGCCATTGCGGCCTCACTGGCAGATCTCGCCGGGCTGGAGTTGCAAACTCCCACCTGCGACGTCGCCACGCGACATGCCAACACCATCATCTGAATGCTGGGAAGTTACCTTTGGATTGCCTTGCAATTTGAGATGCCATAACATATATATATATATATTGAATAATGTGTATATATATATATATGATTATATATGTACATAATATAATGAATCTTATTTGTATTTTTAAACATAATGATATGATTCATTATCTATATGTATATACATATATATATATATATGATATATCTATACATTGATATAATTCATGTCTGTCTTAATATCTGATATATCCCCAGGCCCTTAACCCCCATCGCGTCGCAGGCCTCCGACATGCCTTCGTCATTGGACGTTGAGCTGTGCTCCGAACCTGCGCTCAGAGAACCCCCCGGCGCCGTTCGGGGCACGTGTTTGTGGGGACAAATGAAGATTATTGAAGATTGAACTGAACCATGAAGAAAGATAGATTGATAGATTTAACATGATTTAAGATTATTTGAACCATGAAGAATTGTATATTTAACATGATTTGACATGATTTTTTACCTGATTTAACCGTTATATATTATAAATATTGGACTATTCCTATAGGATCATCTAGGATTGCTTCGAGATTTACTTTTGGAGAAAATGACCAGGGAGAAAATGGGGGATTTCAGCAACATGGGCAATTCATCAGCAAATTTCTGGAGACTGAACCAATTTTTACATGGGGGAGTTCAACAATGGAAATGGGGACGAAAAACAAAGACAAAAAGACATTCAACGCATTGACTGGAGGGAATATTTACAGACAGCATCAAAAAGGCTCATGTTACCCTCTGGTAAACTAACATAGCTATTGAAAATGGCCATTTATAGTGAGTTTTCCCATTAAAGATGGTGATTTTCCATAGTTTTTTGTATGTTTACCAGAGGGTATTGTTTCCCATCAAATGGAGGGCCTCCTGTCCTTTTTCGACACCAATTTCGGGCGATCACGTCACATGACTTGCATTTCATATGTTTGAAATATCTCAAGATGCTTGGCTGTTGCAGTCCGTCACCCAAGGGGGTTGAGATTATAATAATTTATAATAGCCATTAGCTCTAATAGAGCGAATCATTCTGGTCTGCCATTTCAGTAAAAAATGAGATGCACCAAATGGAATCTGTCCTACCGGTCGACCCATTGGCCCATCCCCACTATGACTTTTGTATGAACTCAACAAATAAGACATGTCATGCAATGTGGTTCAACTCAACGTGGTTGTCCAGTGACAGGTTTGTAATTATACTGGACTGGAGGATACCTCAAAACATCATAAACGATCGGGGATTGAGTGTTTGTTGAAAAAACTCGATCAGATCTATGTTAATTCACCAGAGGGTAATATCTCTTTCTTATATCCCCATGGTCAGTGAAATCAAACATGTTGTTTTCTCTGTCCTAAATGTTGATCCATCCCCGGATTTTTCTTCACAGATTTCTCACAGGGTAAAAACCCCCAAGTACCTTCGAACATGTCTAAGTTCATATCTGATTATATACAATTCATACATACATATCATATCATATCATGTAATTATGTATATATATAATATTATGATATGTATGTAAATATATATATATATATACATAATACAACATACATAATACAACATACATAATACATAATGCATGATACACCATACATAATATAATAAAATATACATAACATAATACAATACAATATAATACAATATAATACAATATAATACAATATAATACAATAATATATTATACTATAATATATAATATTTTATACTATAATATATCATATTATAAAATAATATAATATAATATGATATTATTATATTATAATATAAAATAAAATAATATAATAGAATAGAATATAATATAATATAATATAATATAATAATATAATATATATTTATATATTCATTAATATTCTTCAATGCCAGTGTCTGAAGCTGAAACCACTACGGGCTCCCCGACTGGAGCATCGGCTCTCGCTGTCGTCGGCGAAGGAGTTCTCCGCCTCCGAACCTGTCACTGCTTTGGTTGGAAAATCTACAGGAAAGCATGGTTTTCCCCATCAAATAGGATGGGGGTTCCTGTAACTTTTTCCTTCAGCCAATCAATTGAATATGTGATTTCTGCCGGATTTTCCATATCTTTTTGTGTATGTAGTGGAAGGTAAGAGACCTGACACTGGAAAATGTGATTGTGTCATAGTCCATCTTTAAGATCATCTTTGATAGTCCACAAAAAAATAACCGGTTGCTGGTTATGGTTGTCTTATGATTATGTTCCTATATTTTGCTTCGTATAGCAAAAAACTAAAGGATTGGAGTAGCCATCCCTGGGGATGCTGTCTGTCTTTCCATCCAAGGTGTGACACAAAAAACCTCCGACAGCATGAAACTTTGGGATGTGATCCGATTGCTCTTCGGTGAATTGTTTGGTTGAGAATTTTCGATGGTAAACTTTGGACATCTTTGGACACTTGCTGCCTTGTCCCATCAACAAATTACAGGAGTTTCCATCATTGTGAAGCCAAATGTGACTGGATCCCTCAAGAAAAAGCGGGGATTCGTGCAAGGTGCAATGGATAGGGGGAGGGATGGAAAGCGATGTTTTTGTGGCGAAGTTAAAGCGATTAACTAATCATTATCAAAATCCTAATATTGGGATATGACCCAGCCATTAACTATGGATATCACCTGGAATCAAACAGAGCATGGGAAATGCTGCCAACATTTCTCATCCCTTCCCCTGCAAACTGCTGCCTGCCCCTGATGGGGTGTATTCAACACTGTTGGGCGTTGGGAGTACAACCACTCATACTTCTGATATCTTCTGATTAGCTCACAAAGCCCCGTTTTTAAATATGTGTTGCCTCTTGTCTTGACCAATTCGATGGGGGTATTCATCCTTAACGTCATTTCTTTGTCGGCTATATGGGTCTAAAAATGAGGTCTGCCATCACTAATTTGTGGCATTTTGGAGGGCACATGACAATTAATCTCTGGATTTCACATGTCATCCATCCCGTTCCATGGGAATCCAAATAGAAAACTTCACTTTGCATATCCCATGACGGATCCATGGTGCTGGTATATATGCTAACATGACTGGGGTATATTGATGGTAAATGTTACCATATATAGCATACATGGATCCTATGGGTATGAATCAATCACTGATTTTCTGACCCGGAATGTCCATCGTATCTCCACTGACCCGGCAATGGCCATTGGAACCCACCTCGGTCGGACATGTCGGACACGGAGCGCGCGTCGTCGTCATCTTCAAACTCCCCGTGCAGGTCCTACAGGCAAATTTATTGGGTAAAACCCCTATATTTATTGGGTAAAAACCCATGGTTTCCGGTGAAATTTTCCAGATTTTCCCAACAAAACCAATCCCATGAAACAAATATCAAGAAAAAATGTCAAGCCTATGATACATGGGTTCATAATTTGTGAAAACAAGATGGAGCATGTGTTTGTTGTGTTTGTTGCTTTTTCTCCTGGAAACAGGCTATTCCCATTCCATACACATGCTTGAGAAAATCGTAGAAAACCACTAGATTTCTGCACTGGAGCCACTGAGGGTGGGTCTTGCTAGAGGCAATGAGCTGCTTGGTTGGCACTTTCTGCTTGGTTGGCACTTGCTGCTTGAGCTCCTTGACTTGGGTGCCAGTGTACAGTAAATGGATGGTTTCACAGATCGTAGAATTGGAGATTTGATGATCGCTACCAAGGTGATTTCCGAAACTCCATGGTCTAAAAAAATAAACATAAGTTTCTCTCAAAACATATGGAGGTTTCCTAAAATGGGGGTATCCCTAAATCATCCATTTTAGAGTGGGATTTTCCATGAAATAAACCAACCCTTTTGGGATACCATGACTATGGAAAGCCTCTTTTTTCATCGTTGGTCCATCCCCCAACCAGAGCTTGCTATGGGAATCCCATTCCCAGTCATGGGTCTGGGATGTCTGGGTAACCTGAATAGTTCGGCCATAAAAGGGGATGATTTCCTTATAAAAACCATGATTCCAGGGTTCGGGAGAACAGTGAGGTCGTGATGAAATTTACCCAGATGGGTGGTTTATTGTTTTACCCATATTAATCAGATAGTCTCCATATGTCTCCACTCCCTCAGCTCTTTCAGACTCGTCACTGCGGCTGGTGTTACCCAGTGAATGCGCTTCTGGTGCTTCTTCGGCTCTCGTCAGGCCATGACTTCAGCCGCACAAGGCAGATGGCCTCGTACGAGTAACAGGTTTCGCACATGTGTGCTGCATTCTCAGCATTGGAGCCTGGCAACCACACCACACCTCATGGCGTAGAAATTGGAACTCCAGCTGGGCAGGCACTTGAGATACTTAAGAAGACGCTGAAAGAGTCGTCATTGGGGGGTTTTGAAGCAAGAGTGAGATTTGTTTTTACAACATGGGGTACTTAAGTGACTTAACCAAGAAACAACAGATTTCAATATATTGTTTTTAAATAGATTTTAACGGGATTGAACAAAGAAATGGGAATCAAGATGAATTATGCAACCACATCCATGTTTTTTTTTTCTGGTTTCAATGCCAAAAAGATCACCAAAAAGATCACCCAGAGCGGTCATGGCGCCAACCTTGATGACCCAAAACGGTTTTTTAAGCTCAGAGCTCAAATGGAACATTGGGCTGCTAAGTGACAGGTTATCACCATCTATTTCACCATCTTTATCACCATCTATTTCATAATAGATCCATATGATAGTTAAAGAAGGAAACATGAAGCCAAGATTTGAGGCTCCAGTTTGTCTCCAAATTTCACCATTCAACATGACGACCCTGTCACCTTGGGGGTAAGGAAACTTACCAAAGGCTCGACCTGTGTCCCGCGTCCTCAGGAATGCTGGAGAGTGAGTGAGAAGAAGCAATTGGATCCGATGACCTACAGGGGCTACACCCATGGGAGATCCCCGGATGAGAACTGGGGGTACACCCATGATTTAGGAAACCTCAATGGTCTAATGGTTTTACTGCCATTTGGCTAGGACCACATGATGTTTTTTCAAGGTATATGAATCCAATATGAGCGTTGCATTTTGATGATGACGACCTCACAAATTCGCTGCTAATAAGAATCAGTATGAGCAAACTTGGACGCTTCTTACCTTGGCGGTCTATCAGTTGATTGTTTACTCCCTTATGTTCTGTTTGCTATATGCTTACCCAAGCTGGTGTTTTTGATTGCCCATCATTTTTTCGCGTGCGCTTGGAATTGCATCCCAGTTCGAAAGTGGGCAATAACATGGAGTGATCATATGATAATCCAGCTATGCGTTGCAGGGGTCATTGACCACTTAAGTGGGATGCACCCCAAAGTATCCACTTTGGATCAAATTCATGACATTATAGCCACGATCCAGCAACATCCCAAGGTTTCACCTTCAAATAAAACATAAAGTATAATCCCCATAGTAATACCCATAGTGATAATCACATATGGGATGTTCCAGTTCCCTTTGTTAAATAACCAAAGGATCAATTCCCATTACAGTCAATCCCATGAAATCCCCGTGACTTGATAAGTATTATTGTTCAATATTTTTCATAGGTAAATCATCAAAACTAATCAATAAATCGAAGGATAAATATCATTTCACCATGATTTTCACCATGTTAACTATATATATAATTAATTAAACCATTATTCACCACTACAAATCCCCAATGTTTATTGGAGTTGAACGGATCAAAGAACGACTTGTCTCGCCGATCCCCCGCCTGGAGCGGTGCGAACGCTGGTGCACGTTCCGCAGGTTCCGTGAGGGTCGGCGGTGCGAGCGCTTCAAGCCGCTCTTCAGGCGAGCTAAATCTTCTAGGGTCAACACCTGAGGTGTGACGGGTATACCAATGGTGGTTAATAATGGTTTATAACAGTTAATGACAGCAAATAGTTTTATTGATATCACACATATATGGGGCTTTATGGATATATGGAGCTTATATTGATATCATATATATGTGGCGGGTATACCAATGGCCATGGTAGCGATTGAGGACGGAGGTACCGAGGCAACATATATGTTTGGCCCATTTTTTTGGGGCTATGTCAGGGGATATCCTCACAAAATATGGCCTGAAAAATGGTACAGTACCTCCATTTGAGGATCCTGGAATTCCCATTGATAAACCATGAACTTTCAATAATGACCATCAATAGGGTCAATTTACCACTTGTCATCTGGGATTTACCTCACATTCTGGCTTTGAATGATCGGTGCAATGAATGATGGGGTACACAAAAATAAAGAGGATGTACATATACCATGATTTTTCAATGTATACCATGAATTTTCAATGTCTACCATGAAATTTCAATGTCTACCATGAATTTTCAATGTATACCATGAATTTTCAATGTATACCATGAATTTTCAATGTTTACCATGAATTTTCAATGTATACCATGAATTTTCAATGTCTACCATGAATTTTCAGTGTATACCATGAATTTGCAATGTATACCATGAATTCTCAATCTTTACCATGAACTTTCAATGTCTACCATGAATTTCAATGTATACCATGAATTTTAAATGTCTAATACCATGAATTTTCAATGTATACCATGAAGTTTCAATGTCTACCATGAATTTTCAATGTCTACCATGAATTTGCAATGTATACCATGAATTTGCAATGTATACCATGAATTTTCAATGTATACCATTAATTTTCAATGTATACCATGAATTTTCAATGTATACCATGCATTTTCAATGTATACCATGAATTTTCAATGTCTACCATTAATTTTCAATGTCTACCATGAATTTTCAATGTCTACCATGAATTTCAATGTCCACCATGAATTTTCAATAATTACCTGGATTTTTCAATAATTAGCATCAATTTGGTAAATTTACCACTTGTCATCTGGGATTTACCTCACATGCTGGCTTGTTCTGGCTTTGAATGATCGATGCAATGAATGATGGGGTACAAAAAAAAAAGAGGATGTACATATACCATGATTTTTCAATGTATACCATGAATTTTCAATGTCTACCATGAATTTTCAATGTCTACCATGAATTTTCAATGTATACCATGAATTTTCAATGTATACCATGCATTTTCAATGTATACCATGCATTTTCAATGTATACCATGAATTTTCAATGTATACCATGAATTTTCAATGTATACCATGCATTTTCAATGTATACCATGAATTTTCAATGTCTACCATTAATTTTCAATGTCTACCATGAATTTTCAATGTCTACCATGAATTTTCAATGTCCACCATGAATTTTCAATAATTACCTGGATTTTTCAATAATTAGCATCAATTTGGTAAATTTACCACTTTTCATCTGGGATTTACCTCACATGCTGGCTTGTTCTGGCTTTGAATGATCGATGCAATGAATGATGGGGTACAAAAAAATAAAGAGGATGTACATATACCATGATTTTTCAATGTATACCATGAATTTTCAATGTCTACCATGAATTTTCAATGTCTACCATGAATTTTCAATGTATACCATGAATTTTCAATGTATACCATGCATTTTCAATGTATACCATGCATTTTCAATGTATACCATGAATTTTCAATGTATACCATGAATTTTCAATGTATACCATGAATTTTCAATGTATACCATGAATTTTCAATGTATACCATGCATTTTCAATGTATACCATGCATTTTCAATGTCTACCATGAATTTTCAATGTCTACCATGATTTTTCAATAATTACCATGATTTTTCAATAATTAGCATCAATAGGGTAAATTCACCACTTGTCATCTGGGATTTACCTCACATTCTGGCTTTGAATGATCGGGTACCATCAATTTGCGATCGATGATTAGGAGATATTGGGATATAAATTATGAAAATTGGATCCCATAAATGGCCACTTGAATGGGGAAAATGAGTGAACATGATGATAATCCATGATAATCAATTGGATTCTGAGGTTTTGCGGTGATATACTAGTTGGTTTTTCTTGACATCCCACTGAAAATGGCTTGTGAGAATTCCCGAATCAATCAAGGATACTACTTAGTATAACCCCCTAGGCCCTCATCATTGAACATGCTGGATCTTTCCAGTTCGTTAGGTAACTTAGGTAACAGTTTACCAGAGGGTAACCCCCTACAATCATCAAACACAGTGGTCCCATTCACCAAGGGGCTGGATTTGGTTTGGCCACGTCCCATAGCACCGAGACGTTTTCATCTGAAGCTGTGACCTGGCGGAAGAACAGCGAACGGACGTCGGAATGAGAACGGTTGGTTCATAGTGGTTTTGGTATTGCATACCCTCTGGTAAACTGTTACAGAACTATGGAAAGATCCACCATTTTTGATAGGTAAATCAACTATAAATAGTCATTTTCAATAGCAAACTGTTAAATTACCAGAGGGTAATATATGCTAATATTGCATAATATCAATACATATGGGTAATGTTATAAGATTGGAAAATAGTAGTTGATGACTGCAAATAATTGTTGATATATGGTAACTTTATGGTCTGGTTAATCATGACAATTTTATGACCAATAAGGGTTGATACTGGTGCTTTTTTGGTTGATAATGGTTGAGAATGGTTTAAAATGGTTAATGACTGCAAATAGTAAATACAGTAATTGTCATTGTCATATAGTGATAGAACATGACTGTACATAATAGTTGATAATTGATAATACCAGTAGTTGATATCAGCTCAAATAATGGTCTATATTGGTTGATAGTGGTGATTCATTCTTACTAATGGTTAATAATGGCTTACCCTCCGTTGCTATCAAACATGTTGGAATGTCGGGCCATGATGTGGTATACCCAATAGCGCACCTCCACTTTACATATCTTTAATTATCTTTGTATCTTTATTACAGTACATATAACATCATATACCCTCTGGTAAACTAACATAACGATGGAAAATCACAATTTTTAATGGGTAAATCAACTATAAATGGCCATTTTCAATAGCAAACTGTTAGTTTACCAGAGGGTAACAATCCATTTGATGGGAGAATCTCACATCCCAGTGTCCCAGGGTTTCATGGGGACTTAACATCCCAGTCAGCTGAAAATAACTGTTATCATAAGGCCAGCCATGGGGATAATTCCCTGAGTCCAATTCCCATGTCATGACCTGATGGTCTATGGCATGGCTGGGTTTACCACAAGGGGGTTTCCTAACATCTGGAACCTGACAATGGGATGCCTCATGGGCATAAAACAAACCATAAATCGGGATATATGGAATACATAATGGACATATAACCAAGAATATGATATATGGGGGTGTCTGAAAAATATGATATACCCACGGGCAATTTTAATAGAGACAACGAATACACATATATTGGAACGATGATACAAGTATAGCGGCAAAAAATATCGGAGACCTAAAATGGGTTTGTCTGAAAATGAAGTACAGTATAGCATCCCCCCACCAGACTAGAAAGGCAACTGTTCTCTATTTCAGTGGGATTTTACTTTGCTACCTTTACAAGCATAGGGGTTTCTGCCATGACAGTAAAGCCCGAAGATTGGGAAGTTTCTGGAAGTCCCGCCTGATGTGGACACAACCGTCAGCAGTACAAACGCACATAAATACGTACATATTGATATGTTAATACTATATTTTGTACATTATATATACTTGTAATATATATATATATGTATATATATATATTTATATTAGCATATATATATATATATATTATAAGTATATATATATATGTGTATATATATAAGTATATATATATAAGTATATATATATATGTAAGTATATATATTATATATATTAGTATATATATTAGTATATATATATATTAGTATATATACATATCAATATGTATATATATATACATACATACACATTATATATATATACATATTGATATGTATATATATATATACATATTATCTATATTATATATATATTAGTGTATATGATATACTCTATATGTACTCCATGCAAATCGGAACCTCATTTTAATGAACCAACCAAAATCATGATTTAACCAACAAAAAAAGGGATTGAACCGGTAAAATTGGGTTTCACCCGTTAAAAAAACATAGGTCAAAACTGTGAGTAGAACACGGCGAACATATGTGAATAAAGCCTTGGAACATGCTGGCCTACAAAATGTTGGCCAGCTTTAGTATTAACCATTCAGTTGCGGGTTGATACATGTGACCCACATATAGAATATCGATAGGGTTCATCAATCACCACACAAAACAAGGAGTCTATATACTCATAACAATGATGAACACAGTAAACACATGAAGTTTAGCCAAAGAAACTTGGAATTGCATGGAACACATGAAGTTTTAGTCAAAGAAACTTGGAATTGTGTTGTATTGTTCGTCAATGTTGGAAATGCTGAGCAATAAAACGTGAACCTGATGGTAAAACTCGAGCCTTGACCATGATATCATTTCGGTCTCTTCCCAGCCCCTCCCTCGCCTTCGAAGTAAACTCACAATCCAACATGGGGCTCTTTAGGCCATAGAAAAATAGCTTAACATAGCTTAACTAATCCCTTCCCTCGTTCATATTAAAAAAACAACTTACCTAAACGAAACCATAGTTTTTTTTGGGGTATTTCCGCATTCAATTGGGACCATAGTTCTATGGGGTGTTTTTCACATTAGGGTGATGGGATTCCATCCGTGATGTCCATCCAGCTACGCGTGAAACACGCCTGCATCCGGATGCCCATCATACCTGGCGGAGCGACGTCGGGAGACCGGGAGATTTTTTGATCGGCCTCTGAGCATGGCAGCCATGGCGATTTGATTGGATGAATCTCATGATATCAGATCTAGATGATAGATTTAGAATGTCATCTAGATCTGATATCATATAGGATTTATTTTTATGATAGATGATGATAGATGATGATAAATGATGATAGATGATGATAGATGATGTTTATTGGATAATGATGTTTTTTTTAATCAGATTCTAATGCAGGAAGAATTCCCATGCTGCCGCGGCGCATTCATTGGGATTCTCCTGATCTGCAGATAGAAGGAAGCATTGTGCCGGCGTGTCACCTGAGTTTTGCTGCTGCTGCTGCTGTGAAAAGCAGCGCCTTTTGGATCCATGGATCCATGGGATTTCATGGGATTTCATGGGAACATAAAAACCAGTTGAAACCTGGGTATTTTTACCTATTTTTACCGTCAAATAGGATTGGTGTTTCCTATATGGCAGTGTGTCAAAACCAATAGTACCCCTTTTTTGTTCACATCAAAATAGCTGGTAAATGGATGTGAATAACCCCCTAAAAATGGTATTAATAGGTATTGATACATACCCATATATACATTTATCCTTAAACCAATCCAATGACTGACCAAATTCAGAAGGTAATCCCCAGAACGATCCGAGGTAGGCACAGTGCATGTGTGGAACCAAGGTGAAAACTGCATGGGACTCCGATGGACCCCGCGGCATTTTTAGATCCCGAAATTTGGCAATTCCCATCAGGACGCGTGTGTATAGTCATGTCAAAAAGAGTTAAGAATATGTATGTATGTATAATATATCAGGATTATTAAACACAATGGGGACGCTTATTCACACATCTCTCACACATATGTCATAATTATCGGCATGCCCCTGGTGGTTTTTCTATATCGCCAAGGAATGGATGAGGCTTTTTTCACCCGTGCCAGAGCCGTTTTTTTCGTGTCGTTCTCGAAAAAAAAACATGCTAAATGATGTAAAATGCACACATCTTTCTGAAGATGCAAATAGTAGATATCTCGAACTAGTGACTGGGCTTTATAACCCAACAAACATAACTGGGGGGGTTACATATTTGAGGTAGTATGTTCCATTATGTTTATTGTATCACTATTATATCTCTGTTGTGGTTCATTGAATCCCAATTTTATTTAGACACCCACAAACGTGACTGGGTGTGTCACCTTGCATCTAAAGGATTCTGAAGCCACCAAGCAAAAATACTGAGATGAGTTGTACTCTGGTGACATCAATGCCATTGGGCCATGGTCCGTGGTAAGTGGTAAAACACAGAAACATAGAACACGCGTGAGGACATTCCAGTTGGCAAACATGCAAATGACCGTGACTCTATTTTAAAAGCAACATTTCAGGATTGCTAAACAGCTAAACGATACAAATTGTGTGGCTACTGTAATGTGATGAAGCTAGAAGTGCGCAAATGGCTGACTGGTGCTTGCAGTCAACCACCACAAGCACCATTGTCATCAAAATTAGATGTTTCCCACCAACAATTGGATGCTAATGTTGATGCAAGATCAATCAACCCATGTATTTTTTCACTTTTCGTGGCAGCCAGTTGATTAGTATTGTTGTATCACCATTTTGTGGAACCAACTATTACTAGAATATGTACAACAAAATGGGGCTTCGTTAATCCTGGATGTTACCCCTAGCGATCCCCTAGGGCAACCATCCACATCATCTAGGCAGTCTAGGCATTCAGCAGGTCAGTCCACATGTGCCAGAAAGAATGCTAGTGGTTTATGGTGTTCCCATCATTATACATGGGATTCCAAACATAATAGGTATACACATCCCTGTAAAAAATGGATTGATGACCATCCTGCTATCTGGGTATATCGTCCAATTCCTGATTCCAGTTGCTTCTTCCATTGTATCTCCATAAATTAACATATTGTTACATTCCTAGTCTTTACTCTCTGGTAATTTAACATAGCTATTGAAAATCACCATTAAAAAAACGGTATAGGATTCAATAAATCACCATAAATCATGGTAAATCACCATTAATCACCATTATAAATCACCATTAAAATCATGGTAAATCATCACTTTTATCATCTATAGGATTTACATGTGCCATGGCGTCCAGCTATGTTATGACCAGGTAAATTCCCATTAAATCACCATTTTTTTCATAGATAAATAATCATAACTCATCAATAAATATCTATACTTCACCATCAATTTCACTATATAAACCATATATATATATTATATATATATTATATATATATATATATATATTATATATATATATTAACCATAATACGTATATATATATATATATATTATAAACCACAATAACCATATATATATATATATATTATATATAATATAAACCACAATATTCACCATACACCACGATAAATCCGCCTGTTTCAGACGTCGTTGAACCACGGCCCAAGGGACGTTGATTTCCCGGACGCAACAAGTGCAGCGTCCGGCCGCGCTCGAAGCCTTTGAAGGTCACCTCGTTGAAGGCCTCGACGTCGACGTGGCGGTTGCGACGGCGGTTGCGAAAAGGGAAAGAAGCATCGAACATCGGAAAAAAAACATGGTTTTTATAATGGTTTTATGTGATTTTGGAATATCCTTGTTGAAAACTGATAATGTTCTAAATATGATATAATACTTATGTTAATGTTCTTTACTATGATAATGTTTATATCACTATGATAATGTTATAAATATGTATATATATATATATATCATAGAAAACGAAGAAAACATGCTGATGCTGATTGCATTTTCATCCACTTCAATCCCATGTTTTTTCAAGCCGTTGCCGTGACCGTTGCCTCCTTCAGAGACACCGTGTCTTCGGGTTTGATAAGTTGGAGCAGGGGATGATGCGACTGGAGTTTGCACCCAAAGACCTGCAGGCTGAAGGCTGAAATCAAAACACCATGGGATAGGGACCACTAAAATTACCCTCTGGTTATTTAACAGTTTGCTATTGAAAATTGCCATTTATAGTTGATTTTCCCATGAAAAATTGTGATTTTCCATAGTTATGTTAGTTTACCAGAGGGTACCATCTGGTTATTTAACAGTTCACCATGGAAAATCACCATTTTATAGCTAGGTAAACCATCTATGGGCAATTTTCCATGGCTATCTTAAATAACCAGAGGGTACTTAATGTTTCTTAATCTTAGTAAACCAATATCATAAATTGCGACAAGCAAGTATGGAAGGATATATATATATATATCATGAAACCTACGGAAAAAAGGCAACGATCACGCAACACATATTACTGATCATATAATGCGAGTAAAGCAATCTCATAAACCACCTATATGGATTGATAGTTCATACCATCCACAGCAAAACTGGGGATGGTTTACTGTACAAACTGGCATGATCCAACTCAAGTTAGGATTTAGCCGGGTTAGCAGGGTCAAAAAACTCCAAGAAACGAAAAATGGGCTACTCCATGAGCTTTCACGAGATGTTCATCAACGCTAAATCCCGTAGGAAAATCACCACGTAAGTGGAGTGTTCTCCCCAAATCTCCCAGTAATAATATAATAATGGCAGGAACTCACCAGTTGAGGTATGAAAATGCCATAAAATCCCTCCCAGAAATTACTGGTTGGTTCGTAAATTATGTCCGTTTTTATGGGTTAGTATAACCACAGTATATGCGTTGTCAATCTTAGGTACCATGCAAAAAAGCGATTCCTAACTGGTCAACGTAGATATTCCTAATGAAATCGATGAAGAGTAAAGGATTCGTCCCTGGTAAACTAACAGTTTGCTATTGAAAATTGGCTACACCTGAACATTGGTTACAAAAGCAAAACATCTATGAACATGTATGAAGATGTTATGTCTAAGAAATCAATAGTCTTGGCTTTTCCATGGGATTTTCTGTCATTTTGTATTCCAATTTTAAACAATGCCCAATAGAGGTTTATTTTTGGGTATGTATACTGTATACCCCTATTTGGTACTGTAAAATGACCCCAAACGGTTGGACGCGTTTATTACCTATCGTTTACCACATGAAAAAACCCATACCCACATAGTCCTTGATAGTGGAAATATTAGAACATCCCCTCTGGTTTTTACGTTTACGTAGCTGTTGAACATCACCATTGTTAGTGGGTAAATCAACGAACTAAATGGCCATTTTCAATAGCTATGTTATAGTTGATAAATGGCCTATTTATAGTTGATATAGTTGGTATATATGACCAGATATACATATAGTTGATATAGTTGATATATGACCAGAGGGTAACTCAGGATCATCCTGAAAAACAACCAAAACACAGAGGATTTGACACCACTGGTACCGTGGCCCTATGGAGAAAAGGGACCACATATTTGGCCGAACGTTCGATGCCGGAAGCCCATCAAAAATCATGTTCCACCTAAAACACAGTAACCCATTTCCCATAGGATCCATGGTGCTGGTATATTGATGCTAACATGACTGGGGTATATTGATGGGATCCATGGCACACCATATATAGAAGCACCATGGATCCGTCATGGGTTTGTGTTTCCATGTGTTTTTTTTGGTATGATATGTTTAGCCGCTAAAGTTGACACCTTTTCAGAGACCCAGGGACCCGCCTTCTCTTCACCCCATGCATTCAGCACACGATATTCCTGGTGACCGAGACGAAGGCACAGCCGACTGTTGGATGCTGACTGTTGGTGACCAAAATCTGAGAAATGGGTAGAAATTCAATGTCATGAGTGGGAATATATGTATACAATTATTAATGTAATTGTATATATATATATATACCTGGATCTTCCAGGTGTTCCCTTTTTCCGCCTCTAATCACAGAGGCAAAAATTATTGCCTCTAATTCTGGAAAACGCCTCTGATTTGAAAAAATGCCTCTGCTGCTTCTTGGTTTGCCCTTCAAGTCAAAGAGGCATTATACAAGTGAGTTAGGGTCAAAACCTGAAGTGGTGATAAGTTTATCACGTATTGGGGAAAGTCCGTATTTTGTTTGTAGAATACGGCAAGACGACCGCCCCGTCTATCTATATTATGATCAAAACTTGAACCACAACATGAACAATCTCAAGCAACACCTTTTGCATGTTGTGAACATCATTTAAAGCATCGCTTTTCGAAACTTCAGAACTCGAAACTTCAGAACCAGTTTTGGATGCCCTCAGCAATACTCCAAGCGATGCCCAAAATTGTCTATAAACAGGCCAGCGCCCATTTGTGAGCATCTTGGAAATGACATTTGCTGACCTAGAAGAACCTGACCCTCACAAAGACCGCACACTCGACCAACATATACTAAATCATGAAGGCCAAAAGAACTGCCAGTCTAAGAGCCATTCAACAGATACCGGCTAGTTAGCGCAAGACAAAGATTACGCGACGCGTCATGTCATTGTATTCATTTGGGTTCACATTGCACATGTGCAGCAAAATCCAAAGCGATAGCTGTGCCTAAGTTCATACTTTTTTTGGATCAGGTTTGCGCTATCAGATTTGGCCCGAACCCACATGGAACATCACCCCAAAACATATTATATATATACATATATTTCATTTTATTTACATATTTGCAATACTGAGGTCTTTTTAGGGAAGGTGAAAAAATGAAATCTAAAAAACAATAATGTAGCCAGAATAAAACAATTCCCAATATTGATGACGAAATACGGTTGCCATCATGATCTTATATGATATAAATATATATATATATACATAATTCAAATTGTTTTTTATTCAAATGGTGAAGCACTGTTGCCACCATCAGTTTTTCAGGTACAGAAATTTTAAAAGGATATAGGACAAAATGTCGCCACCATCATGTTTGCATGTTTAAACTGTTTCTGACATGTTACCACCATCATAGTCTTATAATCAAGCCATATCAAGGCAGAAAACAATACTAGCCAAAACAGTGAGCAAAAAAAAATGGGTTGGCGGCGGGGTGGAATTCGTTCATGAAAAGTTCAAGAAAACACATAATCACATTTTTTGGGAACTCAAATTTAATGAAGATAGTGTTGTAACAGAAAGCGAAATTTGCAACCCCTTACAGCTGTCAACAACGCTAGTGACGTGTCTATGGGGATGTTCATTTCACAGGAGAGTTGGATTTTTTTGATTTCACAAGGTTTTGTTTGCGAAAAGACATGAAAACACATGTTTTCCCCAGTTCCAGCGAAATGGATTTTCCCTTAAAGCTGTCCCTCTCGCTAGCGACGTCTATAAGAGAGAAAGCGAAATTTGCAACCCCATACAACACCAACTTCATTAAAATGGTGGTTCGAGTTCAACAAAACAGTACTAAAGTTACTAAAGATGCACTAACGCTAGCGATAACGAACCAAACAGTTCCCCTCGTTAGCGATAGCGAACCAAACAGCTCCCCCCGTTAGCGATAGCGAACCAAACAGGTCCCCACGTTAGCGATAGCAAACCAAACAGGTCCCACGTTAGCAATGACGAACCAAACAGTTTCCCTGTTAGCGAATAAAACAAGTCTTTGGCAAAACAGCATGCACATAGTTTCAGCAAGACTGAATATACAAAACAACGATAATCAACATATATTTTGGGCATTCGTTTCTGAGTTTGGCGTGACATTTTGGGCTGAAAAACATTTTGTATTTGAATGTATCGTGATATTTTCTCCAAAATCAACTTATTCACTTCTTTAAATTGAGCTCAGATTAGATATATATATATATACATATAGATATGTTTGTTTTAAAGTCTAGTTATTTATGCACATTTTGGCCAACATCACACCGATCAGCGCATTTTTAGTCTAGTTATATTGATGTATGTAGTGTTGTGATATCCTCAGAATGATTTTTTCATAAATGGCACTGGCTGCAACACTGGCAATGTGGGTTTGGCTCAAAAGCATTGACCCATATTTCGGATGGAATGGTATGATTGAACAACATGGGTAGATTCTTGACCCACATTTCAGCCATATCTATGGATGGGCAACCAGAATGACACTGCTAGACACGGAGCCTAAGGTCGCAAAAATTTTGTCTAGAACTTAGATGAAGTTGATATACCGCGACTAGGGTTTTACTTGAAAACACCCCAGAGTGAAGAGCGCGAGACATCTACAGAAAATCAAGCTGTATCGAGGCTGGCCCTTGGAGAATGAAAAGCGAAAGTTCAGCAATGGTTGTGTTCATGTCCATTTTGTGATATGATGTGAGATGACCTATGAACCCACATTTCATGAAATGGGCCTACCCAAAAATCAGTGAACTGGTAATTCCGCCTCTTTCCTGGAAGATTCCGCCTCGTACCCGGCAAGTTCCGCCTCTAATTCTTTTGGTTTTTCCCAAATCATCACATTTTAACTCCCACATCATGAAATTCCACGTCATGAAAAAACATGAAATTCCAGGAAACCCACATCATGAAACTCCACGAAACCCCACATCATGAAATTCCAGAAAACCCACATGATGAAATCCAAGAAACCCACATCATGAAATTTCCAAGAAACCCACATCATGAAATTCCAGGAAACCCACATCATGAAATTCCAGGAAACCCACATCATGAAATTCCCCACATCATAAAATTCCAGGAAACCCACATCATGAAATTCCAAGAAACCCACATCATGAAATTCCAGGAAACCCACATCATGAAATTCAGAAACCCACATCATGAAATTCCAGGAAACCCACATCATGAAATTTCAAGAAACCCACATCATGAAATTCCAGGAAACCCACATCATGAAATTCCAAGAAACCCACATCATGAAATTCCAAGAAACTCACATAATGAAAATCCAGGAAGCCCACATCATGAAATTCCAGGAAACCCACATCATGAAATTCCAGGAAACCCACATCATGAAATTCCATGAAACCCACATCATGAAATTCCAGGAAACCCACATCATGAAATTCCATGAAACCCACATCATGAAATTCCAAGAAACCCACATCATGAAATTCCAAGAAACCCACATCATGAAATTCCAGGAAACCCACATCATGAAATTCCAGGAAACCCACATCATGAAATTCCAGGAAACCCACATCATGAAATTCCAAGAAACCCCCATCATGAAATTCCAGGAAACCCACATAATGAAAATCCAGGAAGCCCACGTCATGAAATTCCAGGAAACCCACATCATGAAATTCCAAGAAACCCACATCATGAAACTCCACGAAACCCCACATCATGAAATTCCAGGAAACCCACATCATGAAATTACAGGAAACCCACATCATGAAATTCCAGGAAACCCACATCATGAAATTCCAAGAAACCCACATCATGAAATTCCAGGAAATCTACATCATGAAATTCCAGGAAAACCACATCATGAAATTCCAAGAAACCCACATCATGAAATTCCAAGAAACCCACATCATGAAATTCCAGGAAGCCCACATCATGAAATTCCAGGAAGCCCACATTATGAAATTCCAAGAAACCCACATCATGAAATTCCAGGAAACCCACATCATGAAATTCCAAGAAACCCACATCATGAAATTCCAGGAAACCCACATCATGAAATTCCAGGAAACCCACATCATGAAATTCCAGGAAACCTACATCATGAAATTCCAGGAAACCCACATCATGAAATTCCAAGAAACCCACATCATGAAATTCCAAGAAACTCATATAATGAAAATCCAGGAAACCTACATCATGAAATTCCAGGAAAACCACATCATGAAGCTTTGACATTCACCTGCTGTATGATATTAAACTCATCAGAACTTTTGACACGCAAACTCCAGCTCTACCCCATGTATGACAAAAAACTCTCGTGGGTTTTGGGTATGCAGAGTCCTGATTTCCCTTCTGTGTGACAAAAACCCTAGATGAACTTCAATATGCAAAGTCCTGATTTTCCTGTATATAAGCGTATAATATAAGATGTAATTTACTGATTTACTTCCTGCACGCCAAAAAAACAAACTCATGTGAATTGTTTTTGATATTATGACACATCCTGATGCAACGTTTGTTTGACAAAAAAAATATGAACTGTTTCACTCATAAATTCCCGATTCAATTCACCTCCTTTTTTGACCAAACCATATTGTATGAACTATTGATATGAAGTGTCCTCTATGACAAAGAAGTCTCCTTTTAACCTTGAATAATTATGAACGTGTATGATTTACCAGGTGTTGATGCCAAATATATCATGAATCATCATACATGTATCATAGTGTGCTTTTTTGGGACGTTCTGAAACGAGATGCTGCTGCTCCGCAGAGATTAAAATACATTAAATTCAGCTTTCTTACCAACACAAAACCGATATCCGATATGAGTGCTAGTCAACCTGTGGAAAATTAAACAATATAATTGCATGGGCTTTTTACTGCCAAATTATTGCGATTTCATGAAGTGAAACTTGGCGACAATTTATTGGCGTTGTTTCCGCGGTCGAAAAGAAAATAAATTCTTGATGAGCCACTTTGAAAAAACACTGCAGGATATGTTGAAACTTTTTTTCATGAAATAACGTATTGATGTGTAAATATTTTTCTGCTTGAGGAGCAAGAAAATGAACCTCTTTAGTTATAGGCATTTCTTTCAGCAAAAACTAGTTTCGGGTAATTTGATGGGTGAAAATCGTTGAAAGCAAAGAAATGCCTCTACCCATTAAGATTCGCCTCTGATTTTCCAAAGGCGCCTTTTCAGAAAGAGGCCAAAAAAGGGAACCACTTTGAGGATGCAGGTATATATATGTATATGTACACCCTCTCCCCCCAAAAAGAACCGACCGGTTTTGATTTTTTAACTGACTGTGTTTTACAGTGTTTTTTGTTTATGTTTGCCTTCAAAAACAACGTTCTAATTATCAGTCATTTGAAGACTTTGGATGTTTGAGCGTGTTGAGTTGTGATGCTTCATGTGCAAATACCATTACATTTTTTGATGGTATTTGCAGCGTTTTCGACTACCATATTGTGATCCCAACAAGGAGTTTCAATTCACACATATAAAAAAAGCGGGCGGCGCTGTGGCTAAATGTCAATTTTAAGCTTCGCACTCGCGTTTATAATGTGTGTGCGCGTTTTTTTGTTACACATGAAAGTTCGGATTTTATATATTTTCAGATCTTGTGAAGATTTATTTTCAACAAACTCCTTGTGCGAAGTGCATTCCCGTTCAATAGGCGACATGCCTTTAAAAATTCAAAGAAGGTCAAATTTAGTTAAAAGAAGCACATTTTGTGTCAAACATGTTGGCAATATTGGTTGGAAAACAGCGCAGGTGTCAAGCAAACACTTCATTTCAATTGTGCATGATTACGTTGCAAATACTGAGTACATACTCGCTTTTGAAACCACACTATTCCGTGATGAAAGCTGCGGTTTGCAAGATGTTCTGAAAACAACGCAAACGACTTCACTAAAATATATGCAATATTACATTACATGAAATGGTTCTTCCGGGATTGTAGCAGTATTTTTTAGAAGTAATCTTGGCCGACATGAGCAGGACTGAAGCAGGCACTTTCATTCAAAGGACGCAGCATTCCTGGGAAAATCATTCCATTTCAATAGGTAGCATTCCCTTAAGACACTCGGTCGCATTTCTTCAAAATCGGCACTGTTCATCTCAAAGAGAGATTGTGTTTGCTGTTTTTTTCACGAACAAGCAAGTACACACGATTACTTTCAAACAGCATCACACAATTACTTTCAAAAAGAAACAACGCATACCCAAGTCAGAAAACACAGCATGTCTTGAAGGAAACGATATGTTGTAAAGTGCAAAGTGCAAAATGTATTTGCAACATACAAGGCTGTCTTCAGATTGGTCCGGCATCGCTTCAAAGCAAATAGCATGCCTTTCAACGCTCAAGTTCATATTGAAGAAAACGCATGTTTCTCTTTGAATTACTTTACTTCGTGTGATCCCCACCATGACATTTATACATTTTGTTACTGGCAAATCTTTTGGCATTCTATCTGACATATTTTCTGGCATTCGATCTGGCATTCTATCTGGCATATCTTCTGGCATTCTACCTGGCATATCTTCTGGCAGATGTTCTGGCATATCTTCTGGCATATCTTCTGGCAGATGTTCTGGCATATCTTCTGGCATATCTTCTGGCATTCCATCTGGCATTCCATCTGGCATATCTTCTGGCATATTATCTGGCAAATCTTCTGGCATTCTCTCTAGCATATCTTCTGGCATATTATCTGGCAAACCTGCTGGCATTCTATCTGGCAAACATTCTGGCACTTTATCTGGCATATCTTCTGGCATTCTAGCTGACATTCTATCTGGCATTCTATCTGGCATACCTTCTGGCATTCTATCTGGCATATCTTCTAACATTTTATCTGGCATATCTTCTGGCACTCTATGTGGCATATCTTTTGGAGTGGATACTCGCGGTTGAGGTCCGGCAGGGAACACTGGCGGTGATGGTCGTGGTTGAGGTCCGGCAGGGAACACTGGGCGTGGATGGTCGTGGTTGAGGTCCGGCAGGGAACACTGGGCGGGGATACTCGCGGGTGAGGTCCGGCAGGGAACACTGGGCGTGGATGGTCGTGGTTGAGGTCCGGCAGGGAACACTGGGCGGGGATGGTCGTGGTTGAGGTCCGGCAGGGAACACTGGGCGTCGAGAGTCGTGGTTGAGGTCCGGCAGGGAGCAGGAGGAGAGGAGCAGGAGGAGAGGAGACGAGGAGAGGAGACGAGGAGAGGAGACTAGGAGAGGAGACGAGGAGAGGAGGAGGAGAAGGAGGAGCAGGAGGAGCAGGAGGAGGAGGAGGCAACTGACATAAAATCTAACAACCCTCACCTGGCAGGTGGGGAATAAGTACATCTAACTGACATGTTCTTTTTCTATCAAACACCTTCATTCAAAAATTGAAGCATTCCTTGGACGCATTCCTTCTCAATAGGTAGCATTCCTTTTAAGAAGCAACTTTTCTTCAGAAAGGGCACTGTTAATCTCACAAAGGTAGCATGTGTGAGACTGTTTAGACAAACACGGTTCATATTTTGTTCATTTTAAGCACGCAAGCTATTACTTTCAAAACATGATTTCATACTGACTCTAGAAAGCAGAATGTAGCAATACTTCTGCCACATGTGCAGCATGTTTCTTTCAAAATTCCAGCATGGTTGTTTTCCAACAGCGATAGTATTACTTAGAGAATCTGCTACATGTTTGGAGATAGTTTTATTTTCTTTCAAGAGATGATGCATTTCATTGAAAAATGCCTGGTATGTTGCAAGGACTTTTCGTGCAACGTGTTACTTCCTTTCAGAAGTATTGTACTCATGAAATGGGTATGCCCTCCATTTTTGAAATAAGCAATGCATATTTACCTGTAGGGAAACACACTACCTGGTAACTACCTGAAACCTCATGAACATTGATATTGTGAAGAAAATTGCCTATGCAAACAAGGAATGCTGAAGCCTTTCGTCTATGCTCCTGGGCGTTGTTTGGCGGTGGCAGGTGGATAGCTTGGCAGCAGGCCATGAAGTCAAGAATCTAAACCAACAGATTCAAGATTCAAGATGCAAGATTCAAGGTGTAGAAAGACGTTCTGAATTCAAGAACTTCTTTCTAGACCTTGAATTGAATCTTGAATCTTGAATCCAACACTCCTCTCGTTTGCAAACGCTTGCAAACGCGTGTTCTGGAATTTCCCTTGAGTACTACCCCAAGATTCCTAGATAATGATATTAGTATAGATTCTGGTACCCCCTGGATATGACATGAATTACATATATTCGGCAGTTCATATATCTGTATATGTATGGTAACTCCTTGGGATCCAAACATGTGATAAATATGCTACGCGTTTTTTTTGGGGGGGAGGGTACCATACATATAACATATATATATATATATGCACTGTGAAGCATTGTTATACAAATGAACAAACAACCTTTAGACATTGTAAACATTTACCCTCTGGTGATTTAACATAGCCATGGAAAATCACCATTTTTAACAGGTAAACCATCTATTTCTATGGGCCATCTATACCATGGCAAACTGTTAGTCATAACCAGGTTGGTGGTTGACCTACCCCTCTGAAAAAAACAAAATTGTCAATGGGAAGGATGACATCCCATTAATATGAAATGGAATATAACAAAATTTCCAAACCACCAACCAGATGATCTTTTGTTACCACACCTGCGGCGTCCAGCGGATGCTCTGACAGCAGCGTGT